CAAAAGATCTATTGTGCCTAATATATGTTAAATAATATTAAGTTACAATATCCTTAAATCCCATAAAAACGGTACCTTCAAATAGCTAAATGTCCGTCAGTTTCATGTTAGTCAGCGAAGATGGATTACTCTAAATCTACACTGGCTAGATCTTGACAAAATTTTTGCACACACAAATTTATTATTGCAGATCAAATTGAAACATAATACGTATTTGCATTCAAATATAAAATCTAATCAAAGTGTAACTAACGTAGATACAGATTTCAGAGAATAAAAACTGCAATAAAAAATGGGAACTACATCCACGAATCATTTTGGATATTACCTGGGCCTTTGATAAAGTGTTACAATCTTCTGAATCCATAATATGAATCCATATACGCTCTTATCTTTCAGTGAGCCATTTTAACGTAAGAAATCTTATGATTATGAAAGCCCCTTGCTATGTTCCTAACGAAACACTTCATCGTCATCATAGAATGAGCGTAGTAGCTGAAGAATTGGAAAGGTATTATATATCATACTTCAGTCCCACTCGAACCCCCTCGTAACGGGGGTTCTACTGCAACAACCTTTAAGCTGATTTTAACTGGGAAGATATTAGCTTAGCAGTTTTAAAGTCATTTTTTGTTATTTTGGTAAGCTGTAACAGCGTTAGGTGATTTCCTCCCAATATCAAAACTTTTTAAATTTTAAATTAGTTAATATAAGCATTGATTAATATAAAATCTTAAGATAGTATAAATTAATAAAAGAAATTCAAAAATTATAGGAAAAAAGAACAAAAAATTTCCTGGGAATCGGCGATAATTGATGTATCGGAATTTAATAAATTACTGACCAATTAATTAGTTGTATAAATAATATAATTAATATAATTATATAAAATAATAATAAATATAAAAAATAAAAGATTTTACAATACTTCTGAGATAAATAATATTTTTGGCAAAATCATACGACTTTTTTTAATTCTTCTAAGAATAAGAAACCTTTTTAGAAATTTATGCAAAATTAGTTAGTAATTCACGAATATCCATTTACATTGAATATGAACATTAGTTTGCAATTAGTTGCAATATTTATTTTTGTTTTTAATTTTGAGAAAATTACATTACATTCTATACTAATAGGTGTCTAATTTCGAAGCAATTATAATGATAATCACAACATGTTTATAAGTTTTATTGAAAGCTTTTTAATAATTTCACATTGCGTTAAAATAACTCATTAAGGTTGTTAATAATTATCTCATTATGGTAAACTTTTTTCCAACTCAGTATCAAATGCAACAGATTACACATTTCCAACTAGCCTGGCTCTTCATTTCGCATAACTTTTTATCCATGACAATACGTCATTACATTTTAATACAACATCAAAAATGATTTCAGCACATATATGTTGGGTACATATAGTCCCCATTGGGTAGGTTTTTAATTTCAAAATATAAATTGTCATTATATGTACTCATGAATGTCGGTATTTCATTTGAGCATACCATAGAGCATAGAGTAAGTGTACATTATTTGATATGAAATTTTCATAGCTTTCTGACCGAACTCACTAATATACCATAAAGGGAATAATGAACACTTAAGTGTATTAATAAATGCATACAAAATTTATGAATATTGTTACACATTGTGATAGGTATTTTCTACACACATCTATATTTATGTTATGTATATATTGCAATACAACTTGTCTTTATACCCTATATTGGGACATTAATATACGAGTATTTAAGCAAATATTTGCATCACTAAACTAAAATTATTTCAAAATACATCAAAGTTACTTTATGCAAATTAAGGTTTTTACTACAAGCACAAATATAAATGCCAAATTAATTTGAAATGAAGTGTAGCGTAATTACTCAACTATATCAACTATATAGTATATCTAAATTTGATGGGACTTTAATTGCAAAATTCAAATATTTTCAGTTTGAACTGAAACAGCTTCTATTTAAGTTTAACTTTTGAAATACACCAATGAAAACTTATTTTTACTTTATCATTAAGTTTTTAATAAAAGTTTTTCAAATATATACTTAAGCTGTTTAAATATATTTATATATGTATATTTGCTTATATATACCCGTACGTGTATTTAATTTAACTGATGTGTGCTATTAGTTGTTCATGTAAATATATTACTAAATACCAAACACATATAGTCAAATATTTAATTTTGAATGTTTTGATCTGAGCACCTATCGAATTGAGCATTTTAATTAAATTTATTTTATAAACAATATTAAGCAAATGAAGCTGGGCTATAATCAATTCAATCTACTTATAGTTTCAAATACTACAGCTTAATATTTGCTATTCATGCACATAGGGACACTAATCAGTTTAAGATAAACCTATTTCGATATATAAACAAGCATACAATATTGTGCATTAAAGCAAATAATTTACTATTCGAAAGTATATTTTAAACTAGCTTAAGTTTAGTTTAGTATTAGTTAAACACACATATATATACATATAATCCAATTATAAGCACGATCACGATTTCTAGAGCAGCGCGATTTGAGAATTGATTCTAATAAAGTTCATCACTCCGTACAATTTTTCCTCTAAGCTTTATATAATTAATGTTGTCTTCATCGCCCACTGCTAACTACAGCAATTGTTGCTTTAAGGATGTGTGAACGGTACTTGGTCGTCAATGTAGATAAGTAACTTGCTTTTGGCAGCAAACCATATGTCAATATATTTCATCACAAAAACTCTACCACGGTCGCGGTATCATTGGAAACCCAGTACTCTGATTATTGGTATATGTGACCCGGTTCCGATTTTAATGTTACATGACAAAATGACTTCAAGATATCAAGGTACTTGAATACTGAAATAAGATATCAGATCTTTACTCTAATTGTCTTCGTGAAGTGCGGGTAATTTTCTTCTTCTTGGGTAAGAATTCGTTGCAAATCAATCATAATTATGAGTAAAGATTTTAAATGTTGCTGCTGAATAAAAAAATTTTTGCAGCTTAGCAGTACAAAGTCGGATTTAATCTAGTTTTCATCTTTACTGAATTCCTGTTGTCGTTTGTGTTCCTTGTGCACCATATAATTCTGTCGGTGGTTATGAACACCACTTGTTGATTGTTGGCAACTAGCTTCGAAATAAGTTGCCAATAATCAAAGCGCAATTCTTAAAAAAGTTGAACTGGATATCTTACACCATTATGTTCCGCTGGTTCAGTAGCTCGTCCGAAAAACACATTTACTTGTGAAACCATAAAGAAGCTTCGGAAATGAGTATACTTCTACCGTATACTTTGCTTACAAGCGGCAAAAGTTATTAATATTATTATTTATTTTGAGAAATTTGTTGAGAAGTTGTAGTCGCGGCTGGGACCGTTTTAGTTATAACGTCTGCTTTAGTCGTAGAAAGATATAGGTTACAAAACCACATCAAAGACTCTCAAAGAATAATCTCTTCCAAAGTATACTTAAGAATTGTTAATGAATAATACAGTTTCACTCTTTATTTAGTTCTTTTAACAATATACTTGTCTCCACGTGTATATAATACCCATCTATTGATATTGAAGTAGACAGTAGAAAAATTTGAGTTGGCACAGTGCTATCGAAATAGCGCTATCGAAATTTCGCTTTACGTCAGTTGAGTTATTTCTTAGCAGACGACAGCAAGGATAGAAATCACGTTGACCACAATTATAACTTGATTCTTACAAATATGACTTCCAAGCGGCAGGTTATGTTTGTTCTATGATGAACTAATTCTTTACTTGTTGATATATATAAATCGGTATCCAAATTATACCACACAAGCGATCGCGTAGGAACCATTGGCCAAAATCGACGATGACAACAACACATAACCCTCACGTTTACAGGCAGCAGGCTTTAATTATTTTATAATATTTATATATTAATATGATTGGCGTTGAAATATTGGCTACGCCTATTAAACTATTAATTTTCATTTAACTTCAACCAAAAAAATTATTTAGTTGAGCAGTTGATATGTTCGTTATTCAAAGAAATAAGGGAACGTCCACATAAAGCCAATTGAATCCATGTGTATTGATGTTTGTTATGAACATTATTAAAAGATATTGATGATGGGGTAGCAAAATTAACTTCATTTACATTAGTTTAAACATTTAAATTTTTGTAAAATCAGCTTCAACTTCTTAAATTGCGCCACAAATACGGGTAGTAGAAATAGTGGCTTAAGACATCTTTTATTTCATTTAACAAACTTAATAAATGTTATATTGTAATAAATTAAGTAACACAATAACACAAAAAAGCTCAACAATTATATTAAAAAATTATTAATTTTTACATTTGCATTTACATTTACATTAGGTCTGTTCCACGAGCTACTCATAGTAAACCGTGAGTAAAACAGAAGTAAAATTTACACAAAAATACTTGAAAATTTGTTGGTGGAACGCGCTTGTGTATACACAGTGTTTGCTCAAAGTTTCTTTACTCCTTTACTCCAATCTTACTTTATTATGTTTTACTACAATTTTCAAATCAGATGTTATTATTCTTTTTGTCTTGGACACAATTTTGAGAAAGTCCATACATAAAATAAATCAAAGAAGAAAAGATATTCTCTGATAAAAATAATAGTATACTTTTCTGTTTATATTATATTATGCTTTTTAAATCGAAAAAAAATTGCAAAGTAGCTTTTCACAAACAAATTTATGAATTTATTAACACATATGGAAGTTATTTGTTAATTTTTTTGTAATAAATTAATTTTATCAGAAATCAAAATTTATTAAAATTAAAACATTTCTCAACACTTATTTTCTGAAGTGCACGACAGTTGAAATGTCATTCTTTCTTTAAGCTTCATTCGTGTTGTTTGGTTTTTGTCATTACGTTTATCGAAAATTGACACTTTCTCGAACTTATTTAACAAATAATAAATATAGTATTGAAAATTAAATAGAAGTTAATTTTGTTTATGTTAAAACGATAACACTGAGAAAAGAATTGTTAATAAATTTCAGCCGACATCGTTGGATTGATATAAACATATCGTTGCTTCTAATCTTGGGATATTCTTCAAGTACTCGGTAATGAAATTGGAAAAAAATTAATGTATATATTATTTATTTAAATTAATATAACATCTGTCATGCTATAATTTAGAAAAAGTGAAATATCCATAAGATATCCTAAATTATTTATATTTGCTTGAGCAACAGTTCTCATTCCAAGAATTTTGCGCACCGAAGTCTATTTCTTAGAATTTATATTCTTATACGCTTCTGATTTCTTTTACATGAATTTACATGCCGTAGATCATAATAACAAATAATAACAAATATAGAATAAATAAAAAAATATATAATATATTATTTTCTTAAATTCGTGTTAAAAGCGATAATAAATGATATATATATTTATACCGACGAGATCGATTTCCATTAGAAAATAAAAAATTTTAAAAGCGACTTTTTAAGTTAAAAAAGTGTATTAATAGTTCCATATATTATACTGCTCGGTCAGTAACGTTACGATTTTTGGAGCGCCAAGGTTTGACGATTGATTTTGGTGAAGTCAAACCTTATGAATAACTGTAACTACTAAGCTATAAGTCTATATTTTTTATTTGTTGAAATATCCCGCTTCAGACTAATTACTAATTATATTGAATACATGCGAATGATCATCGACCATTACATTAGTTGTTATCGAAGATCATGGAAAGATCAAATCTTTCCAATCAAAATGATAAAACTGGTGAATACGTAAGAATTTGTTAAATTTTTGTCGAAGTAAATGTGAGAGAAATCAATCAGCTGTTGTAAACATTTATCACTTTTTATATTAGCTTTTGGATATTCGAATTGACTTATTGTTTGTTATATTATATTATATTATTATATAATATTATATTACATTATTATATAATATAATATTATATTATTATATTATATTATTATATTATTATTATTATTATTATTATATTATATTATTTTTGCATTGTGTGCGTTATGTGTGCATTGTGTACATAAATTGGAAGTATACTGCGCCCCAAACGCAATGCAGCACAAACATCTTAGATCTTTCTTGGCAAAATGTGTGTCCATATATAGTTTAATAAAAAAATGTTCGAAGAATAATAAACTCTAATAATAATAATTTGTCATCAAATAGAAATGTCCAAAAAATCGTAATTGTGTCCAAAAAAATTTTATCAGATTTCTTAACTTTTTAAGTAATAGAATTTTTATGGATGCACAAGCATTAGAACCACTCCATATATGCAACAATATAATGGGAAGCGGTTGCAAACTACATTAGATCATATTAAGCAGTGTAAACTAATGAGCTTACACCGAGCTTTGACGTAAGCTCAGATTACTGCGGTGATCTACGCTGCAACGTAATATGGTAATGCATACCATCATGTTTTACACTGCGTCTACACTGGCTAGACTATGGCAAGATTTTTGCATGTGCTCTTATTTACTTACTAACACATATAAATTTATTTTTATTCGTTGACAAAGTTTAAAAAATTATGCATATTTGTCTTCGAATATGAAGATTCTGGCAAAGTCTGATCAGTGTAGACGCCGAGTTACTATAACATCATTGCATCTTTTTTTGTCAGATCATACATTAGCTTCCACGTAATTTGGACATTTCGCATGAGAAATGTTCCACAAAATTTGGATATAGTAGAATTTTTCTTTTTTATAGTTATTTATGTCAATTTTTCAAGCGAAGTGAATGTTAGAACGATGTTTTATAATTACCAGATCTAAGCAATTGTGGCCTTCTATGCTAGCCTTTAAAACTCTAGCAATCTATGCATGATAGTCACCAACTTTGCTACTTACTACGTATAGGTTAGGTTAGGTTGTACTGGCGATCGAAAAGGATCCACTCAAACCTATTAGCCCATTGTGTTGCAGTTTATGGGAAAAACTCAGAGGTTTAAAACCATATTTAACTTCTGGTAAAGATTACAATGAAATTTAATGAAATGTTTTTGCTTTCACGTAATTTGGACATAGTAGACCTTTTTTTTTTTTTTTGATAGTTATTTAAGTCAATTTTTCTTGCGAAGTGAATGTTATTATGAGGCTTTATAATAAAAATTAAATGGTATAGAAATAGTAGCTAGCAAAATAGGTGACAAGTAATGAGTGTGAGTAGGTAATAACAGAAATTGTTGTAATCAATAGACTTTTCAATACTGAGAATATAATGAACTTTTTTAAAAAGTCTATGCATTATAGTCTTATCTAACTAGCTTATATTGTTAATATTTTTTTATTGTTATCATATTTTCTGAATGTGCAATGAGCTGTATTGTTTCTATGAAATTTAGTCTCCTATTTTTATTGTGCTGCACATCAATGCATTTCATCGATATTACAAATATTATAAATATCAACATAAATATAAAAATACACAAATAAGAACTTGAGAATATATTTGCAATAATTTTTCATTGTACGTCGTGACGTTGTATGTTACTTTATTTTCAAAAAAAATATGCAAAAAAGTATAGTATTTTGACAGCTGTGCAAAAATAAATATTTTGATATTAAACTTCAATTGAAATTAATTTTTACTGTGCCAATTAATACTGGACAAGAGAAACAATAAAACATTCACTACCCAGTATTCAATAAATTATTGGATAAAAAATTTAATTCTTTTATGCGGTTTTAATACAATTAAAATTCGCAGTCTGTCCAAAATATTCAATATTCTGTCCAAAATTGAAAAGATGAAAAAATAAAAGATACAAACAGACTGTTATTAACATATGAAGTGAATTCAAATCAATTAATTTTAAATAAACTTTATTTGTTAACATTTAATCTTGCATGTTAAAAACCAAAAAATTTATATTTGCATTTTAACAATGAACAAAAACAATTTACAAAACAGTGAAAAAATTTGTTGATTGTTTGTATTTTCGGATTGAAAAAAAAATTCAAAAAAAAACCAAGTCCAAGTCCATATTTTTTTCTAAAACAAAAGCATTTAAAGGCAGTGCAGTTTGAAAAAATAAATCAAAAATGGCTTTACCATGGGTTCAGGCACGGGCCAGGGTTTTATATGTAATTTGCATGCGCCGCACAGTATGGCAAAATTAAAAACAGGCAATCAAAATTTAGTACTGTCTCAACTCATGGAGACGAAATGAGTATAGAAAATGAAGCAGGATAAACAAGTTTTCTTTATTTTTAAATATTTAACATTTGGCTATTGAAAAAAAATGAGAATATTATATGCGTATATTGAACTGTCACGCAAGGGCCTAAAGCGTGAATGAAATAGCCACGCTTGCTTACGTCTGGAAGGGGTATATTCGCAGGGACTTATTTTAAGTATTGAACTCTTTTGCACCAATTTCTGTTATAACCTACTTCGCGCTCATTACTTCTCGCTCACTTTGTTACCTACTATGTATAGGTTAGGTTGTACAAGCGATCCAAAGGGATCTACGCAGACCTATTAGACTATTGTGTTGCCATATTGAACTTCTGGCAAAGACTACAATGAAATTTAATGCAGCTGATCAAGATCATCAAAATAGGATTTGAGTTCTGGGCAAAAACAAAGCGGATAAGAGGCACATTCAGCATACTCTCTGCAACTGCAACATATATATTGCAAGAGAAATTCAATCTTCTAGCATTGTTTTCTAATTTTCAATAACCTGTGAGGAAACCTACCTTACGACTGATATCTCTATGGTGCAACTCAATGAGAGTATTTTCTTTCTTACTTACAACTACTATGTATGCTCCATTTCGGTTTATATTATAAAAGTTGACATAAGCTTTAATGTTAACAGAAATTTCTGCTATGTTCAAGTTTTGTGGATTATTTTTGTGGCTAATGGATGGGTTAAAAAAAAAGGGTGAAGATATTGAGGTAACTCGGCGTTTAGACTGCTGTTTAGACTTAGATAAGATTTTTATGTCTGTTTGAAAAAGCCTATAAATTATGAATTTCGGCTGCTAAGAATAGTTTGTAAATGTTAATGAAAAGTGAGAGTGCATGTAAAAATCTTGCCAAAATCTTGCCAGTGTAGACACTAAGTAAGATTACTAAAAATTGTTGATAAATCAAAAGCTAATGTTCACTTTTTTGCACAAGTTTGTGTTTTTAAGTATATAGAATTACATGCACTATAAAATAAGAAAACAACGTTTTATAAATAATTAAAATAATAAAAACAAATTTTTTGAACATTTTTTATGTGGAGTAGATGTCTTAGTGAAAAGTTATAAAACTTCTTCTGTGATCTATTTGTGGTAATATAAATCTTGTATATTCCCAAATGTTGCAGTGGGCGGAGTGTCATAAAACTTCTTAGATCTTACTGTTTTAATACAAAGCTTTAACTCTAGAAGAAATTTTAAACTTCTTATTGATATAATTCAAAAATTCTTTATTTCAAATTTAAATATTCTAAATAGGAAAAGCGTTAAAAGTGATCTTGTTTGGAGATTTCAGTGGATCGACGATGCCCAAAATATATGAAAAAGAAAATCTATCTTTAATAAAATATATAATATTACATCGATGTTATATATTTCGATACCACTAGTTTCGGTAATCAAAATATCGAATTTTGTTTGGTTAGTTTTAATTTTGCCACACTGTGCGCCGCATGCAGCAAATGTTGTATGGTTGAGAAAAATGCGTTATTGTTATTTTTGTGCATTATTCACATTACTGTATACATGTAAACATAAACTTTTTGTAATAATAAATCTCAGTGAAGTAAAGCACAATATATGGTATGAATAAAAAATTAAAGTTAAATATATGAGAGGAGGAAAAAAATTGTACCACACAAACGACAGCAATGCGAGGCGCCGCTGACAATAGCAGACTTACACGCCGCTTTTGTTGCCTTATATGCCGTAATTGAGTGTAGATTTGTTTGTCCCATACTCAATCATTTATAGACACCTTATATATATATGTATATAGAGCTATGTATGCGATATGTCACTAGGTGTATGTGGATAAATATTTGCATATGTAAAAGTGCTACAAACGCATATAGATGTGTGGATAGGCAGTAGATATGTTTATTACTGAACGGTCCTTGGTCAGCCAAGGTAGACACACTTCAAACGTTTTTAGTGTTTAACACTCTGCACACATGGAAACTCATTAAAATGCGCAATTTAAACGCACACAAAACCACAGAAGGCGATACACACAGATACACATCACGGTTAAGCTAACAAATGTGAGTTACTGTGTTAGCCAGCTAGCCAGTTAGCCAGCTAGCCAGTTAGCCAGCTTACAGCTTTTACAGCTTTTACAACATACAAAATTAAACAGGCAGAAAAAATAGTCACCAAATTGTTGGTTAATTGCAACAGGATATATGGAGTGCCATATATTAAAGTGCTCTGTCGAAATTACGTTTTCATACCCTACGTAGTACGTACCATTTGACACAGCAAATTGAGTGCTGACAATGGGTAAATCCATGCTGAACACGTTGTACTATTAAAAATACTTGATAAAATGAATACTCGTATCTGCGATATGAAAGAGACACTTCAGTTTTGAAGTAGATTTGCGGTTGCACGCAAGGACATGGAGTTAGCACTATATAAAGACGCCGCTAATAAGTGTTTGGGGTAGACTTAATTTATTGTTCAAGTCATGAGAACATGTAATAAATTTTCGTATTTCTTTAGTTCAGAAAGGTCAAAAAACACTTGTATAGCAATATATTAAATAGACATTATTTAATACGTCACCTATAGTCGTATCAAAGGCTTTCGCATTGCGTTAAAAGTATAGTGAATTTTTTGATAAAAATTACTGTTACTTTGATTATGTCACTAAAACGATTTTACAATTATTTAAATTAAATATTAGATATTCAAAAAATATCTAATACTTAAGCATTCAAGTAAGCATTAGCATTGTACAATACAGTCTTTTAAGGTATATTTTGTACACTATCTTTACATACGATCTGCTCATCTCCAAAAATGTGCTAGCTACGGAATATGCAGATGCTACTGCACTCACGTCTTTCGTCCAATCATTCAAATTGCCTCAGGATTAGTGCAAGAAAGACTAAATTCCATAGAAATTTAGTACAAATGTTGTATTATGTTGTAGTTAGTATCGAAAAACCCCAATATATCCCGTAAAAGTATAGTTGAGAGCCAAATTACCAGCACAGAATTTAATGAACCACTATTAGCACTGAAGTTCTTGTCGATCATTGTCATCACAAACTCTGCACAATACTTCACAAGAGTCATAGAAGCGAAACAGTTCCATAAAACTAAAATGTTAGTTCGATGCTCCATTTTTAACTTGTATTCAGACAATGTTCGCGAAATCGGTGACTTGCTAATCGGTAGAGAGATAAATGCCTTTTCAATTCTTTCTCGATTTAGTAATAAAATTTGGAAAAAATAAAATCAAACCATTATCATTTCATCATGACTGATAGAGAAATTTCGATATAAATTCAATCACTATACTATAAAAAATATAGTAGCGCCAACTGTTGAAAACATGCGGAAAACTGTTCAGTTTATGACGTCAGTAATTAATTCTTCTTGATTAGTGCTTTATTTTTTTTGTTCTTAATATGATCCTGAATCAGTATAAGAAGTAAAGAATTGTTGTGAACCCAGCTCTATAGATCGAAAGCTAAATCGTATCTAGACATCGGCTAGAAGCTATTAGCATTAACTTTTTTGCTGGTACATTAGTATTATTAATATTACTTCTTAATAACTATGATTTTTTTCTTTATTTACAGATATTACAAAGTATAAAAAATATGGAACATCTACGTAAAAAAGTCTTGAATGCAATTCATTTACTGCAGAATTCGTCCAGTATAAAACAAATAACAAAGTTTATACAAAAATCTACGTCTGATTCAAATTTATTCTCTGCAGTGGAACAAATTTGCCTAGAAGGTAAGCGAAGTGGATTGTTAGACGAATGTTGGGGTTATTATTATTATAGATGTAGTGAGTTTGCAAAATCCGATGAAACAAGTTTATTTAATAAGCATAATAAAGAAACTCCGGAAGAATGGTCTGACGAAACATCGGATGAATGTACATCTGAAGAATCATCTGAAACAGATTCATCTGAAGAAATAGATGACTCAAAGATATATGATGAGAAAGAAAAAATGAGTTTATTTAATTTTTATGTGTCTAGCATAAATAATTTTTTTGATATAAATTTATTGGAATGGTTCGGAATAAAAAATCTAACTTCATCTGTTATAAATAAAAAAGATACAACTATTGTGGTTAACCGTGATGGTTCCGGTACGAATGATGTCAAAAGCTGTTCCGGTGCGAATAATGTCAAAAGCTGTTATGTACGACTGAAGCGTTTAGATAATAAACCTAAGCCTGATTTTTATGCTAAACTTAAAAAAGAAAAGAAAAAGGAAATCTGCAGACACTGTGGCCCTTTACAGAAGGCGTCAAAATAAAAATAAATTGCTTGAGAAATTAATTGTTATTGGTTCTACAAATGTTATGGCTTGTAACAATGTTGGATGAACTGATGGTCAACAAGTAAATGGAATAAATACTAATGAAAGTCAGTTCAGTAATGGTTGTTATCTAAATAATGAATACTCGTTTATAGAACTTTTATGCGAAAAAAATATTCCAAAGAATTATTATTTTTGTGGTATGAGGGACCATAGTCTCCACTAGTAGCAAATCAGGCAAGAATTTATTACTAAATGGAATATGTTTGGTAAATACAAGCTATAAACGTAAACTGGGCTTAACAATTAAGGAGAACTACGGGAAACAGTGCAAGGATGTGACTACTACTGTAAGTAGTGTCTCTATACACCACATTAACATCGTCACAAGTCCAAATAAGCAACCTTAAAATGAAACAATATAACAACATTATATATATTTCCTTATATGTATATATCATAAAAATTATATATCATAAAATTTCATCACATATTACGAATAATTGGAAAAGCAGTGTAACATATTATAAGATTTCATCAGATATTGAGGAAAGAATGAAGGAATTTTACAATATAATATTATATCATTACATTAATATTATTATTAAAAATATGTTTTTAATAATATAATAGCAGCTAATGCTAAAAATAATAAGTAGAACCAGTGCAAACTGTTGCATACGAAAAAAAAAAGAAGAGGAAGCAATGTATTATACTATTTTATTTTCTCAAGTATTGTGGAGTATAAGATGAAGATTCAAGAGTACTCTATTTGTAAGGTATTTATAAGAACAAGAAAAATAATTCCAAAATATTATCTTTTGCTAGATGCAAAAAAGAAAATCAAACAGAATCCCTACAAAAAGCAAATAAAGATGTATATAGGATAATAACCACCAAATAAAGCAACGTCTAGAGCGTATAAGTTCTACTATCAATAAGTCTCCTTCGTCATATTCTATTTGTTGCTTATACAATATAATATTTATGAAAACTTTCAGAGTGAGTTGTAATTTTTATATTAAATTTAAATTGTATTATGGGATCTATAATATATTATTAATATTGCATATCTTTTTACTAACTACTGATAAGTAGTTTGTGGTGTTGGCATGATATGTGTACGCTAGTACACAAGGTCTGAATTCAATTCCCTATATGGTCTACTTTAAAAACGACCATTAAAAAATTACTATTAAAACTATTTTGAAATTTAAAAAATCAAGACATAGAGCTTAAAGCACTTCTTAAAAAGGGTCACTTCTTAGAGGCTCAAGTCTAACTGATAGCACTAGGTAAATAAATAAGGTATGCGTGACTTACAACCAGTCAGAATAATGTAAAAAATTTTCAAAAGTGTTGTTTTCCTTAAAATTTGTGATTTTGTGGATTTGGTGTTTCATGGAAAAGGTTAATGGTTAATGGTGGAAAAATTATAATCTAATTTGTTGCCTGCGAAAATATTCGCGACCAAAACTAGTGCCCAAGAGAATTTTCGTTATTCAAATTAAATTTTATGTGCGGTCCCAAAATATTTCGAAGAATTTGGTTTCATATGCGATTTATTTTATCTAAATAAAAATGGAATCATTTCCAATTGGTTTTTGTGGTTTTCTTGCTGTAATTTAATGAGTTTGCAATTCCATTTGTCAGTTAAAAATACTAGTAAAATTACCTCAATAAAATGTTGTGTGAATAATTAAACAATGGTGTTACCCTAAATGCGCTTACCTGAAAAGGAAAAACAAATTATTTTTAAAAATATTTTAATAATACTACAAATATATACAAATGTGTTTATAATAAATTTTAATATATTGAAATTTATTTTGAATCTATATTCGGTATATATTTTAGTACACATACATACACTTAAAATTGATTAAAAACTATTTGAATGTGGTTGTGATTATATATAATTTTGTGTTATTGTTTTTAAATATATATTCAATCTTTTATAATTTTGTATGTATATTAAATATTTAAAATGATTTACATCACAATAGATATTGAAAGTGGAGAAAGTGGAGATATTTTCAGTGCCATCATTAAAGAAAGTTCTATTTCTTCGAATAATGTACATTTAAACTATAATTACATATATATTTTTTTAAATATTTCTTATCCGGCTACAGGCCCAGCTTTGATCTGGGCCAGAAGGATATCACTGGGTAGGTAATTGCTATCACATTCCGACATTAAGAGGTCCTCAACAACTGACATTTTAGCCTTCATTCGAAAGGCGGAATGTCTTTTGTTCAGTTAAGGTCTGTTGTAGCACAAAAGATCCGTCATGGTCGCGGTGCTCTGCTTAAATGGGAGCTAGTACCCTGTTCTTTCTTATTATTCTTATCCGGCTACAGATTACCATTTTTAATAAACAAACGTTTAATTTACAAAAGCTGACATGTAGTCGAATATAAAAATTACAACTTATAATTGTTATTATTATAGTAATAGCAGAAAGGGTAAAGTGTGCATTATAAGCAACATAGGCAAAAAAAAATGAATGGACTGGTCGAACTTATAGGCTGACTTGAGACCTTTCGCATCCAAATTTATTTAGAACATACGTTTGTATGAGTTTCGTCATTCTATTTATTTATTTGTCTATGATTTTAATTTGACGTAAGGGTATCGGCTGTCTAAATATGTGGCCAATAGTCTTGGTCACCTACCTATTCTATCGTGTTTGTAATACCCAAAATAGAGAGTGCCATAAAAAGTAATATTTACCTAAAAACACATGAAAAAGAGTCTTAATATCCTCAAAATAGTTTATTCAAATAACTTCACCTGTAGACAGTGAAAATTGACCTAACGAACAATACTGTTGAATGGACACCTAAACTGCCCGTTTTAGAACAAAATTTTTTTCACACACGATTTTTTTTATACGTTATTGGAAATAACTAAATATTTTTGAACGAAAATCATTAAATATTTCTTAATTAAACAAAAAAGTAATTCAATAAATCGTGTTTACAAAAATACATAAGTGAATGAATGAAGTTTGTATTGTAGTGATAGCCTTTAATCCAAAACCCATTGTAGAGTTTAATAATACTCAACAATGGATTGTTGTAATGCCACAGATTATTATGGTTCATAAGTAGACTAGACAAATCCTACATATTCAGTGGTAGCGAACTAACTTGACATATTTACAAACATGGCGAAGTTCATAATTTTGCAGGATGACAGCTCTGTCGGATCGGTAAGTAAAGGTACTCCAAAGTTTCTTTTGAAGCTTCTCTTAGCGTATGATAGAGACTTGCAGATGTGGTGAAGTACAATCTTCTTCTCAACCGCTGAGTAACTGAGTACGCTGACTGATCTATCAGTACCGATACCGTAGTGCAGAGCGCGTTACGGCTTATATAAAGCAGCTGACTACTCAGTTTTACTACTTTACTAAGATTTATTTTGAGATCTAACAGAGGGTTTCACCTAATCAAGTTTCTTTAGGTATAGTCAGATATGATAATGAATGAGATGATAATGCATATACACAGTTTGAAAACTGTAATGAAATGACGACAAAAAACTGACGTTTGAGCTTCGTGCTCTGGGCGGCCTTTTGACGAAATACCAAATCGGTGATCCCGAGAGGCCTAACTCCGTCGGACATCAGGGTGGCTTTAGTGGGTTAAAGTCTCGCACTGACTGGGCTTTCGATGCTCGGTCACACCTCAGTTAAAAAACTCAAAAACTCAACCGCCACACGCTTTATAAGGACGTTTTAATTAACAAAACCTACAAAGACTACGCTATAAATTTTATCTCCTCTTTTTTTGTTGCTGTGATAACTAAATAATCTTGTGAAGCCTACGACAACATTGTATCTGTACATGCAATGGAAATTCCATTAACAATAATACATTTTTTGCTGCACATTTCTTTTCTATGTGTCCAAAACTGGGTGCATTCGTAACCATTCCAAAAAAAAAAAACAAAAGCAACTATATCAAATCCGTCTGTGTCTGTCACAACAGAAATTCTCAAAAAAATTGATATATTTTCGGATTACTTTATGGTTGACATTGTGAGTATTGTTTATGCACAAATGCATACTCATGAGACCACAAAAAAGTACGAGTGATGTATGTGTATTGAAAGGCAAAACAGAAAGTTAACTGTCCTGTCGCACAACTCCATTCTCCGGGAAGTATGCAGCACTTTTTTACACTTCGCCCATTGTAACTATCATAATTCATGATGGGCAATAAAAAATCCTGCTAACAGAAACAATAACACAAAAAGGTCAAAAATGTTTACAACGCGAAAAAAGTATTAAAGAAAAAATTATTAAAAAATAAAAAATAATATAAAATAAAATAAAATTTAAATAAAAATGTATTTATGCAAAGAGAGAAATTTGAATATTTTTGAAACCTCTTTGCCGTTTGCCACTTTGGCCCAATGTAAATTGGATTTTTTTCTAACAACTTCGCGTCCTTTTTGTTCTTATTTTTGTTTTTGTTTTTGTGTTTGTTTTTGTTTTTGTTTTTGTTCCTGTTCTGTTTCGCTATGATTATTTTTGTTTATATATTTTGTCCTTTGAACCAGAATGTAATTAAAACTTAAGTTGCAGTAGATTTGGTTGGTTTCGTATGGTTACGTGGCCGCGCACAGGGGAATACGAAAGTTGGCAATTGTGAGGAAGCAGGCAGCTATGGTGGTCAAGCATTCTGGGTGGATTTGACTATCAGGCTGTAGTCATCGTCTCATGGAGCAGCAGCGCCTTCTCCATAGTGCCATTGAGTGTAAATAAAAAAAGCAATTTACTTTATGAATTATTACTGCAGCTCAAATGCCAAACAAACAAATAATAAAATTAAAGCAGAACTGAATGTGAAGACAAATGGCTGCGGTCACATTATTACGCTTTTTGCAAAAACAAAAAAAAAAAAACCAAAAAAATCGCAAAAAGTAATAACAGCGAAAATTTTTTTTTAAAAAATATGAAAAGATTTTTCATGCGTGCAAACTTAAAAATTAATTAGATTTCCCTTTTTTTTTTCCTTCATCAAAGAGAAAGTTAAGAAATATTAATATTGGACTGCATATTGCAAGACTTTTTTAACTAGTCAAAAAAAATTAATTTAAATACTCGTGCTTTTGAATTAATAGCACTTTAAGTCCTAAGAAGGGGTACTGTTTTGATGGTATATATTATATTACACTACACTTCATTTTTTGTATTTGTCTTTAGTTGTAGTTAAAAATCTCACTCCTATCATTTGCTAAAAACTAATTCCATTTGTGGCATTTCAACTTTTGTTGCTACTTCTAAGACCTATTCCAACTATAAAAGAATATTTCAAGGATATTGAAGCATTATCGGTCTGTGTGTGATAACACAGTATTTAAGCATAAAAGACGGATCAGAGCTTCATTCATTTTCAATTCT